TGATGGGGCAAAAGTCAGCAAGCACAGAGGATCTAGCAAAACTTTCGAAAGTTTCCGCCATCGTGCTGAAACTCTCATATAGCATTCACCGAAAAGTGAGAAAACACCACCACTGCACAAATTTGAAATGCTGGAATTCAAATTACGTGAACTTGAATGCCGCTTTTATTACTAAGAGTTGCTGCAAGTCCAGCGTATTTTATTGCACGTTGCGCTGCCCGTGTTGCGCAATTTTATCGGGAAATAGTTTCGACCTGTTCAAATTGAGGTTCACCCTAGTCCACGCTGATCGGAGGGAAACCCTAGCTCGTACTGAGGCTCAGCCAAGTCCAAGTACAGGAAGAGACTGGCCCAGACGAGTAAATGACAAGTGCATATATATATATATATATATATATATATATATATATATATATGTTATTTCTTCGTCTGCACCATTATGATAACCTCCATTTCACATATTTCATCATCTTCCATTCATAGATGATAACCTCCATTTTCAGATACGAAGGTCGTAAAGTTTGTGTGGATTTCTCATGTGTAGGTTTTGGGGATTTAGGGTTAGATTTTACCCTTGTCTGTAGTATGGAAATCTATTTGGACTAGGTGTAAACTCTCCACCCATTTTTGCCAGAAACAACTGCTTGACGATCAATGGCACAATTTCATTCACATGCCATCCCGAATGCGGTCGCTTATTCTGAAGCAATGATCCAAAAATAATACGGGATGTTTTCCGCACATGATTCAACAGTCAGTTCCGTTGGATCTCGGTACAAATTGGATCACCAATATTCGCCAGTGGTGGCTGACATTTCAAGCGTTCATTGCCATACAGGCGCTACATCGATGCCCCTCAGCCTATTGGCTTCAACGCCACAATCTCTGCGCCCCACATGCACGCCTACTGTCTGGAGCTCCTGGCCGGTGTCTTGCGACCCGGGGCGCGGGTAACATCAACGCCGATTGCATTGGCATGCCAGTGGATGACGGATGGCGTGGAGCCGTTTGGGCGTCGCGCCGATACGTTAACGGTGCTGCGCAACCCGTCAGCGAGCAACTGAAAACACTTTGCCGGTTTCGTTAACGCTCGGATTATGTCGATGTATCACGACAACAGCATGTAGTTGAAGCACCTAGTATCAGCAAAGCATCTACAGGAAAAGTCCGCTATTAGGGAACTTTTGCCTTATTAGGCCGCGAATCTCTGAGTCGGGTCACCGTGGTTGTTCGGTTGGGCAGCAATTCCAAATATCCCCGTAGTATTCGGGCCTTAGCTGGGAAGAATCATATGGAGAATTATGCCATACTTGTTGATTAACGCAGCATGATGATTGGAAGAGGTGGGTAACGCAATTTGATGGGATTGAGTTTGCAAGACCGTCTTGTGTAAATTCAACTTCCTAACAGGTCCGAACACCTGTGCAAGTGCTGCATTCTCTCAATTTAGTACTCGCGGAGAATGTGGCCATCTGACCTTCTGAAGTTTGCACCATAAAATCCACTATCCGAAAGTTGTTTCCAAGTTTCTTGTAGCACGGGATCGCAGTGTTCTGTGATGATTGAAAGACTGATTCTTTGCCTGGTAAGGTGCTAGATGTTGGCAGCGGAAGCGGATACCTGACAGCTATGTTCGCGAGGATCTGCAGAGGCCATTCGGACACCAGGTAATTGCCATACGCTGCGAGGCTCTCTGCGGCGAAGACACTCACAGCGTCCTTAAGTGGGAGGATGCACGCTTCGTGAAAGTACTAGAAGATCTCCCAACGTTGTACTACAACGTGTCAATACTGCGGCGCATCGCTCATTTGTAGTGTCACAGCTTTAAGCACATGCTAAAATCTGTCGCGAAAGATCTCCTACTGGACATTCGCTCAAGTGCAGAATGGGACCGATCGATATTGAGGACAATAATATTGTGCACTTAATAACCAACGCATCCCATGGCGCTCACGAAAGCCGAATGGTAGCCCTTGCTTCGCATCCTGGATCAGGTACCGTTGTAGGCACCATGATCCCAGTGTGCTCATCAAATTTAGCTTTGAAAGCAAAATGTATGCAATGAATGTTTCTTAAGCAATCTTGACAACGTGGCAACGCAGAGGTTTTCCACTTCTCAAGCGAGGCGGGCCGTTTGATCCTGCGGTATTGAGATATTGGGTATTCACTGTGCCCAATAATGGGCGTCCAGGAGCAAACAAATGCAGAACGTCATGTACAAATCGCTGTGCCTTGTGGTGTGCATCAGCAAGCCGTACACACGGAAGCCTCGTTTCTACAGCAGTAGAACACGAACCCAGATTAGAGAGACATACTGTAGACAATGCAGATGTACATTTTTACCAATGTATACATTAGTCTATGAACTGTGGAAAGCATCATTGCTGCTTTGGCGTTGGATCCCGTGCAGAAGCAAGCAAAAAAGCTCAGCGCAAAGTGAGTGCTGCAGGGTCTTCGGCGTCGAGCATGTAGGTGAGCTCGTCGAGAGGTCCCTGGTGAGTCTTGAGAAACTGCAGTTCGCAAAGGACATGATGGCTGACGGATCGCTGAAAATCATACAGGTTAGTGCGGATGCGGCATGTGTCATTCCGAAGAGCCCGTGTGCGGAGCAGTGCGTGGCGTCGCATGTGCATCACACTAAGATACAGAACTGAACGGCGCATCCGATAGGTGCATACATACAGCTGTATAAATACAATGCTGCAAGTTCGCAGGCGCCTATGCCTTGATATGCACATGTGTGTACTTCTATGCACACGGGATTGCGGTAATGGTGGTATTGGTTGTGTTGGATAATGGTAGAAGTTAATGAAAACGGGCAAATTTATGATGGCAGAATAGTGCTGATGCACTTATCAATGCAAAATTGATTGTGTACAGTTGATGCACAGTAAAATGATGTACTGGGCCGAAAGGTGGTTCAGCGAAAATATGAAGAACAACAGGACCTGATGTTTTCTTTGATATTGAAGAAAAGGAAGGGGGGAGGGGGGAAAGGGACTTTCTCCCTGGGTGGTGGCCGCTTCCTCGGTTGTAAACCTGCTTCACGCTCCTTTCGATGTGTCCATTAATGTCCACAATGGACCCTCCTAACCAATACCTCGACGCCAAGACATCCGTGCATAGTTGTCCATGTCGGAAGTTCCGGCAATTCCCTGAAAACACTAGAGGCTGCAAGGGAATGATATCACGAGAATAAGGCAGCTCACATCGGCTGCGCCTGCGCTTCCAACGACCGCATTGCCAGGTGATGCCTGCAGAGCAAACAAAAGTCTCTGGGGTTGTTGGTGAAGAAGACCGTGCCAAGCGGGTGTACGTAGACACCGACTTAGGGAAGCGAGTTCCGACGTTGGAGCGCTCATAATTCCGGTGGAGATTGGAGCATGTCCAAGTTCTCCTCTGCTGCAGTTCCAAAATTTGGTCTGAGGCTAATGTGGTTTTGTTTGCCAGTTTGCTTGTGGTCATCTCCCTAAAGGCAGCCTTGTTCTTGGCAGCTCTTGGACTGGCAGGATCCAGCATGTACACGTGGGCCAGAGTCTTTCTTCGGCGATCTTAGGACGACGGCGACCTTGGGACACGAATTTGCAGAGGCTGGCTCGCCTCCTATTGCGAAATTGGTCTCCAAATGTTGCACATGTCCGCAGATGCAGTGCTGTCATAGCGCAGTGCTGCGACAGCACAGCACCGTGCGATGCGCTGCGTGATCTCCAACACAGCAATGACTGCCGTGTTGGAGATTAGAGACCTGCACAAAGCCAATGAAGCCAATTTCTGGTGATCTTCACCTCAACTGAACGTCCATTCAGCGTTCTCGCAAGAGGAAATTGCTGTGCTTGGGAAAGCCTCATATCCGATAAGGTGGCCATGCTGCATTTCCGCGCATCACAATATCTGAACAGGCTGAACGCAACGCGACGCGGATCAAAAGTTATCTCTTCCTCAGCGAATAATCAACACATTGCCTGCGCGACTATTGGGCTCCAATAGGGAATACAGTAATTGTTTTACAGTACAGTACATTGTGTGGCACAATTGCTGTGCACTGGTAATATTACTAATTTTCATACCAGTGTACACGTAGCCCTAATAGGCACCCCTTAAAGACGAGCCTTCACCTGGAACATCTCTCGCCTTTGCGAGCACTCGCGTATCTGCCGACCAAGAAAGGACTGTTTAGAACAATCCCAGTACGTTGTGGACGTCCGTCGAACGTCGGCCCATTGGGTACAATATGCCCGCGACTGTGTTGTGCTGGGTTCTGCATCCCAACGCTCATGTTCTTTCGGAACATCAGGGAGATGGTTACCAGAAGATAGAGGAAGGCCAGCAATTTGATTGCATCCACGTTGGAGCTGCCGCGCCACAGGTGGGCTTGACGGGCAATCTAACACAACTGATCGACGGTTGATGCTGTTAGACGGCTGATCGCGTTCGCGCACGTGAGTTGATGACAGCAACATTTGCGGGCAGCTGCATGCGTGGGTCGACTGTGGCTGAGGCATACCATCCAGCTCACAGCAATCCGCGGATGCTAAATCGCCTGCTTGGGTTCCAGAACCGATCCGCTGAAGCTTCTGGCTGCCGCGCTTCCATCGATTTGAATTTCGATTTCGAATGTAAATTACGATTTGAATTTGGATTTCACTTTTACATTTTTTTGGAGTGCGCGTGGAGTGAGGGAGTGTGCACCGTGATCACAGCTGGCGTGGCCTGAGGCGAAGAACTGTGCGCCACATGGTATGCAGAAAAAGGAAATGGCACATAATGTTTTCTTCGTACGATTGAGTACGAGACATCCCCGTCAGTAGTGCGTGGGCTTTGTCCACGGTATTTGCAGCTCATCTCACGTGCAGCCGAGACGAAATTTGGAACGCACCCCTCAAGCGCGCTCCAGACGCAACGGGAAGCACATCAAACCTAAGATCAGTCCGCCGTGGTCCGGATCCAGCCTCCAAGATAAGGATACGAGTCACACCCACAGGATCACAATCTTGTCATCATCACTCGCTCTGCTCCTGCTTAATAAAGTGGCACATGAGTGGCATCTCAAAATCCACGAAGGCCATGATGCCTAGAACCAAAGCTTGAATCAAAATTGTGCGCAATTGTTTGCATTTGTCTTCTATTTCGTATTGATTTCCGTATTTCCCACGCAAGGCGCCCCCTTGCGCCGGCAGGCTGCAACCTCTGGTGCTGTGTCGCAGCTGCCGCAGAACCTGGTCGCACAACTTAGCGTGGGAGGCCGCATGCTGGTCCCTGTGGGCCAGCAGGGCAAGCAGCAGGTCCTCACGCTTGTGGACAAGGGCGAGGGAGGCGCCTTGAGCATCAAGAGGGTGATGAACGTCGTTTACGTGCCCCTGACGTCGTTGTCGTCCCAGCTGCAGCCGCCGAGGTGACGTCATCGCCCAGTCAGAATCAGCAGCCACACATGAGCTGCTGCCCTCTGTGCTACGCTTGTGACTGTCCAGACAGACAGCCAACTAGCTTGCGAACGAGGGGAGATCATGCGTGCATGCCAGCGACTGAAGAACAGGGCTCAATGGTCAAGGAGGCAGGCAATCTTCGGGAGCAGTGATGCTAAAGGGCACAAATTTGCAACATTGCGCCGTGTGCTTCAGTCATGGTTCCATTCGCCTCCCCCTGCAGAACAGGCGTCGTGCTCTCCACGACCACCCACAGCGGAGTTCACGCCACCTGAGATTGGAGCACTGAGGTGCCTCCAGCACCTGCAGGCGTCTGCGCTGCAGTGAGAATGACATCTGCTTTTGGTGCAGTGCTTGCATGCTGTGGCATTTTTCCGCCCAGCCAGGCTGTGCTGCGCAGAAGCACAACCACCAGAGCTTAACGGGCACTGTGAAGGGGCCTCAGGTGTGGAGAGATGCTCAGACCGCTGTGGTGCATGTCCCGTTGCACAAATTCACAAACTTTTGGGATCCAATTCAAAGACAGAGCAGCCCACATCAAATAGTCCTGGGAATCACCTGCTTGGCACCCAGCCCTGGTCATGCGCCAATGAATCGTGCACCCCAGTCCACTTTCTTGCCAACTCTACCCCTGCTCACACGATAGCCAATCCTAATCACCCAGTCCACAAACCGTGATGCAATGATCCCAGTGTACCAAGGGCACCGGGCTGTGCGCCTCATTGAACTCATCGGAACAAACAATGCAGATGCAGCAAGGCCCCCACATAACCTTCTTAAAGATGGGTACAGCAGCATCCTGGTCTAGTGGCCAACGCCACAAAAGCATGTTGCCTCCACCAATTGAATAAATAATCCCAAATCAAGACATGATGGTCAGTAGCACCATAACTACCAGATGTCCTTCTGGTACCGTCCCTGGTCGCCCAGTGCCTTAACTACATTCTCTGCCTCTGCAGCTGTGCAGTTTTGACAATGCTGCACGATGTCTCTCAATGCATCATGCACATCCCTGGCCATGTGTGCTGCTTCCCCACACACATAAAAAACTCCCTTGCGGCCCCCATTCAATGCTGCCCACACCTTGTCCCCTGCAGAGCACCCACCTTCCAATTCATAACAAACCACGGGTAACAATGACTTCAGCACTTGACACCATGGAAAACACCATGCACACACATCCCAGGATCTGTTCCAGGGTTCCGTGGTACAGTCAGACATAAGCGGACTCTGTGCTGCCACTGCTTTCTCAAAGCCACAAAATAACCAATCAACAATTGCTCCAATTAGGGAGAATATTTGAGGTTCTGGACATGTGCAGCAATGTTCTAGCACAGGATGGACATAACTTGCCCAGCGTTGATAGTCCAAGCAATATGATCAACAGCAACAATGAATGCACGTGAGGTTATGTGGTAACAGGTGCAGAAGCAAGTGGGCATTTGCCAAAGCTGAAACGACAGCTGTCAACTGCCACCCGAAACGTAAGATCTGCAAAATTCCTGCCAACCACCCAACCTTGTTGCTATGCAACAATCCACTTACTGTTTGCAAAGAGGTGGTGCTGCACATAGTCTTTCTCCTCCTGATCTCTTGAAAAGGCTGTGTACAGTTCTGTGATGACGCCATCTTCCAGATACTGTTGGAGTTCCTCTTCATAGATGTAGTCCTTCTTTCGGCTGCGGCACCCAAAGAACAGCAGTGCCGGACCGAGCTGATGACCTGCATGCAACCAGCGGTTGGGATGAAAATCACCAGCTCATCCCTTGGATAAAACCTGAGACTGGCAATGGCATCTGAGCAGTGCAAACAACACCTTCGTTGGGGACCAACCACTGTGCATGTGTGAAGTGCTTGCCTTTTGGCCCAATAGGTGAAAGGGCAGCGATTTGTTTAACTCAAAAAACAGCAACAATGCTTTACAGGCCAACCACAGCACACTGCACAAAACATGCCAATCCCTCTAGCAGAACAACACGCTGTCTCGTAAACACCGCAGCAGTATGACCCTGTTGGAGTCAGGCCCAGAGAATCCCTCACTACTCCCACCTTGTGCATCCTTGCTTGTCCAACTTGACACAACAGACTGGAAACAACGTGGGAACTCAGTGCAGGTTGCCACAGCCACAATGTACCTTTCTGTTGCAGTGTAGACCTCTCCTGCAGGAACCCGCGGAAGGGCGCCAGACCAGCACCAGGGCCAACCATGATGACTGGCACCTCAGGGTCAGATGGCAGCCGAAAGTGAGACTTGCGAACGTGGATGAGAGCAAAGGCCCCAGGAGCCTGCACCTTCAGCCAGTTGGTGCACACTCCCTTGTGCGGCCTGCCAGATGGCTTCACCTCATCCACCACTGCTGCTGTTATGTGGATCCTGGGAAGACATACATTTCAGGGAGGTGAGCAGGGTGGCGCACTGAGCAGGCATTGTATCAACATGAGATGCTATTTTCTGAAGCTGCTGGCTCTTTCAAAAATTTGGTTTTGGCGTTTGCACCACAACGTGCTTCACCCCATGCCCTTGACTTCCAAACAAATATTGGCTAGTTATAGAAAAGAAAACAATAACTTCTGGGTTGACTGAAAACGGACAAAGCATCATACAACCTAAATGAAGGTGGATATAGGTGACAGCATCCCTGCCCGAAACATCCAATATAGTTGGTCTGGTTCAGCATCGCATTTGCGATGCATCATTGTTCAGGCCAGGGATGATACTAAAAAGCCAAGCACTCAAGAAATCAAAACTTTCAACAAGAAGACCAAAGAATCAACTTTGATGACAAGGCTGCCGTGCGACCCTTTGCACTGCTTATAACTTCAGCAACGGGGCAACAGCTGGTCATGAAAAGGGGTTGAAAGCCCTGCATTTTTGTGCCATGCTCCTTGCAGTATTCGGCCACAAACAGTGAATTGCATGTTTCCCCAAGACTAAGCAGCACTTCTTATGATACAGCGCCTATGACAGTTGGCAGAGTCCTGGCTTCTTCTGCGGCACTGCTCGCCACACAGCACTTTGATGGGGATGTGGATGGGATGTGCACAGCGAGGGGGAAACTACACTGACATGGAAGCCAAACACAAAGACACATGTGTGACAATGAACCACAGTGTACAAGCATGCTGAGGGCATCCAATTGCAGGAGCCACCCGATTGTAAACCTTCTTGGATGAGGGCAACAAATTTAGCATGCCTGCTTGACCACTGGGAATGCCCTTACTTGTTGGGATGCATGGCTGGCGATGATGATATGGAGTAATATCGTGGTTGCAGCCTTGGGCAGATGCTAGCAAAAAAGGCACCCAGGGTTGGCTTCACAGATGGAAAATCCTGGAATAGTTCCAGCAGGCTCATGCGACAGTCCAGAACACATTTCTTGTACTCCGCTTTACCATCGGCTGAGCACAAGAATTTCAGACGCTGGGCTTCCTCCTGTTGTGGCAAGCAACATCAATTAACACATCAGCAGCTGTGCAATCCCATTAGGTTCAGCATTGCAGGAACATCCTTGCTAAGAGAAAGATACATCATCCAATACAGCATGGCCTTCATGCACAGACGTCCCTTGGATCTCTACAGTTGAACAGGAGATAGGCAGAAGAGCACAAGAAATTGCTTGTTTTCCCCAACAGTTTGACTCATAGTGCCAACTGTTAGACGATGCAGAACAGCATAGTGAGAGGGCGCAAATGCATAATAGCCCTTGAGCCTTGTTTTCATGTCCCACTGTAAGTAACATGAGCCCAGTCACTAAGACTTGCCAGGTGCAATCAAGCATGAACATCAAAGGAACACATTAAAGCAAGTTATGATACCTGAGTCAATGAGGCTGTTTTCGGCAGTGACACAGGCTTCATGCAGAAAAGGTCCATACAAATACCAACATACAACAGCAGAAATGGAATCTGCAACAACAACTCATGGCATGGTCTCCTGCAGAGGCCCACAGCAATGGGTCAACCTGGTTTGTGGCAAAGGCTGCCAGTGCAGGGAAGGCCGATTTCCTTGGTGATGCCGTCAGGTCAGCGAAAGTCTTGAGTGCTGTCCTCAACGTCACCGGACCAGGGAAGGGTGAGGGGAGCTTGTGAGGGTTGCCTTCCTGCTGTTTCAGGGTGAAAACAGTGTCCAAATCCACACCTGCCCAACAATAGAACGGAGTTGTTCCCAGTCCTTCGAAACAACAAACCACTGTCCCTGAGCTTTCTACTGAATTTTGATAAGCTGTAATTGTAATTGTGTGGAGCAGGGAACAACTATTCTTGGCACTGAACATTAATTACTTCGCGCTTGTCATCGCCTGCGCTGTGCAAGGGCTTTGCTTGTCAGTACTTCACAGCAACAATCCTTTGTAGGTCGTTGACATTGTGCCTCCAATTCAACGATATGCATGTTAGTTTACTTCCCTTCAATAAGATTGGGGTGGCACATGTTGATCCTACACATGCCATCACTAAGAGCCACTGATCGTTTGCTGGTTTCCTGAGCTTGTCTTGTATTGGCAAAGGTAACCAAATGGAATCAAAGGAACTCCATTTGAGTTGCAGGTGTAGCTGACTGTCCTGCATCAATCGAAGTGGTTGGCCTGGTGCCCGCTGGTCAACTACACATGCACCCTTGGCAGCAAGAAACATAAGCAGCAGTGGCAAGGGATGGTAGTGGTGTGGTGTGTACTAGTGGGGTGTAATTCACAGTGGCATGAACCAGTGCAGCTACTGACCACTTTGCTCCCTCTCCCGCCATAAACCCCCAGCTCTCTATAGCCTCTGCTGTACCTTTGAACAAGGATCTTCAGTACCGCCACCATACAGATCCACACCCTTGTAAGGGTTCCCTGTAAACCCATTTGGTACCCAGCTTGGGGCACAACAGGAAGGACAACTGCCAAAAACCGATCTCACAACTTGAACGTACCTTTCCTGAATTACATACTGCACTGAATCGTGACTGCACTGATGTGTACTCACCCAGCACTTTTGCTGCTTCCTGGACGATCTCCTCTGAATTCTCAGGGACCACCGCCACGTGGTCCCCAGGCTCATAGTTGAGTTCGTTTGTGTTGAGCACCACATGGACGCAGGATCTTTCAGACAAATTGCTGTGCAGCTCACGAACCTCGTCAACCAGTGCCAGGCTCACAGTGTGACCAGCTGAGCCGCCACCACTCGTCCCAGTCCGGTCATAGGCTGACAGCTTTCTCTCATCACGGCAATTTTCCGCAATTACCACATCGTACGCAGGCACAATCTCGTTGGCAGCACCATTCGTGCTTTGAACCCTGAGCAGCAACAGCATCATGTGCATTCGCATTTAGGGCAAGCTGTGCTGCATATCGGATCTGGGTGTGCAAGAAGGGGGAAATTGGCAGTAAGGCAAGGGCAATGTGACAATAGGCAGCAGGCACAAGATGACTAAATTATCTCACATTTGTATCAATCTTGCTTGACTACATCTCCAGAACATCCCTGCCAAACCCTCAAGAATGGTCTCAATCATGTGGCTGGCAGTCGTTACCTCTTTTCAGCAAATCCTCGCTTGTCCAACCCTGCCAACAGGTTGACAATCCAGTCATCGAGATCATCTTCGATACAGCTGCTGTCATCACCATCTGTCCGTTTGACAATCCTCTCCGCACCAAGCTGTTCCAGTGTGCGGTCCACCTTCTTCCCAAAGGCGCAGAAGTGTTCGTACTCAGTGTTTCCCAAGGCGAAAACACCATACTGCAGGCCCTGTTGGTTAAAATCCACATCTTACTATCCACACAGTAGACATGCTATACAGCGTCAAAACAGCAAGAGGAATGGCACGCATCTTGTGGTCGTGAATAGCCTTGTGCAATTGTTGCACGTGCAGCATGGCTGTAAACCCAGCACATCTTTGGTAGAATGCACACCAAAGGAATGCTGTGTTCACCACATGAGCAACGCAAGTTTTGATGTCAAAAATCTGCTCCTGCTGTGCAAAATACATCCACCCTATAGCCCAAGGCGCCCTTCCCGACAGTCCTCCCTCCCTGCTCCCTATCCGGCCCAAAGGGCTCTACTCCTCTGCGCTACCTCCTCTCCCGCCGCTCGGCGGCCCCCTCACCGTCAAGCCCCAATGCAGAACACAGCCCCCACAAATCTTGCCACTGCATCCCAAGCAAAGTTTGGCAAGTTCCCATTGCCAAATTTAGCCCAACCCCGCAAATTTTACCCCGTGATCCAGCCGCGCTGAGCTTGCGCTCCAGTTCAAAACTCGCTGACCAGATGGAGGATCCCCCCTTCCCAATGGCCCCCCCTTCCTGCTCCGCATCAGGCCCAAACGGCCCCACTCCTCCGTGCTGCCTTGCTCTCCCGCCGCCCTGCGTCCCAGCACTGTCACCCCAACGCAGAACAGAGCCCCACAGAAATCACGCCATCGCACCCAAAGCCAAGTTTGCCACGTTTGCCAAATTCCCATTGCCAAGTGTGCGCGGACGGAGAACCTCCCCGCGCGACGCGCACCTCGAAAATCGCCTCCCCGGCCACCTCGCAGTCCGTCAGCCACCCGTCGAACTCCATTGCGCTGTCCGTGGGGTCCCCGTCGCCGTAGGTGGCCACCACGAAAAGCGCCACGGCCTCCCGCGCCAGGGCACCCGCGAACGCGTACTCCTCCAGGTCCTCCACCACCGGTGTCACTCCCTCGCCGTACGCCTCGCCCAGCGCCTTGGCGATCTGATTGGCGAACTTCTCCGCCGTGCCCGTCTGCGTGCCGAACAGGATGCGCACACGGGACTCGTCGCGGCCGTCCCCGGCCGCTTGGGCGTCCGCGGGCGGTGGGGCCGCGGCGTGCTGCCCGGCGGGGGCCTTGGCCGGATGCCGCCGCGCGACGCGCCTGTAGATCAGGGTGGCGATGCACGCCAGGGACAGCGCCGCCAGAAGGGTCAGGAAGACTGCCATCCCGGCTCGTGCGCTGGGCCCACAGTGGCGGAGTGCTGAATGGGTGGCGCCGATTCAGTCCTGGAGGATTCGGACTTGTGGGTGCGGGGTAGCAATCGCGTGGAGGGATGGGTGGGGAGCCTGAGGATGGCTGGGCTGGGAAAGGCGGTCGTCCGCGGGGCGGTTTGGGCGCGCGAGTGAGCCAGGCCGAGACCAAAGGGCCTGTCACTTCCCTCGCGTGTCCTGGGAGGGGACCGGCGGGACGAGCGGTGCGGAGCGGGGCGACACGGCGTGCCGGGCATTTGGGCTTTTGGGGCCGCAAGGAACTGGCCAGAACGGACGCCACACAATCCTGCAGCTGCTGCGCATCTGTTGACGACGGGGAGGCGCTCTGTCCGTTTTTCTTCATTGTTTTGCTGTTTCGTTGGCACACGATCCTCAGCAATTTGACGCTTTTTGCACAACGTCAGAAACAGTGTAAAACGGACTATTATAGTGGCAATTAAATGATATTCCAATTTTAAATCGTTAATAACTGCAGGAAAATGAGAAGTTAGTTAGTATGCAGAAACACACAGCAGAATAGCATCACTAAAATATTTGGTATTCAGCAATAATGCCGGCGATGAGCGCTGCCCATTATGCAGTCCATTGGGACACCAGCTGCAGCAGTGTGGGACACGATCAGATGGAATGGTACAAAGGCGCCCTTTGTTAATCGCTGGTCATGTGCCGGTGCAGAAAGGAAGCTGTGGGCGCCCTTGTGACTGGTGGGCGCCGTCCGCAAGCCGATTGGCGAATACCTGTGCTTTCTACGGCAGACGAGCACCCTTGCACGCCTGCGGTGCCTTCCCGCCAGTCGGCTTACCAGCAACTCCGCCACACCTCCACCGCAAGGCAAACGCAAAGGATGTTCGGACGCTGCCAATGACCATCACAAATTTTGGTACGGCTCTCGCATCCGCTCTTTTCTGTTTGGCTCGTCATTTGTTTGCAGGAACATGGCTTTACTCCATCATCGGCTTGTCAAAAAAGCGGCCAGGCGTCGCGTCGAGCGACGTACATAAACAAGGCACTAAGCCAGAAAACCCGTCAACCGATCACTCTCCTCAAAATTCGTAATATTTTGGGGGGTGACGATGGCGTGGTGCCGTGGGCTCAGGCCGGCGGGCCGCGGAGCAGAACTCCATTGAGATTTCCTCGGCGGCTGGGCAAGCCGCACAACATCCAAGGCGCGCAGTACCCAAGGCCAGTGGAAAAGAGTGTACCTCGCGCCGACGCCTCCCACCCAGCGCCAGTCTGCCGCACAGCGGCAAACCCAGGGCGTTGTTCACCCCCATTTTCGCCGGCATTCCCACACCGGGTGTGCCGTGGTGCGTGGAACGCCAGCGATCCGCCAAAACCCCACCCTCCCCATCTCCAGTACTTTGGACGCGCACTGGCCCGCGCACTATTTCATTAGCCTCGGGTCGCCGCCCAGCCATTTGGAAACAGCGGCTGGCGGCCTCGCGCATCGTCACCACTCTGGCGGTGCCTTCCCGGCCGGGGATGGCCACGGAGCGTCCCTGAGCCTCGCGGGGGGCACCCAGCGACGCCGGACCGCGCGGCGGCCGGCGTCCCGCGCAGGCGGCGCCGGCGCGGCGAACGCCTTCGCCGTGCAGCTTGCGCAAGTCTTCTGCGCTCTTCTCGGGGTTTGCCCTGGCGCGAGCAGTGGCTTGCACCGCACCCCGAGGCCGGACGGCGCCGGGTAAGCGAGGTCCCCGTGCCGCCGCGCCGGACGAAGGGACGGGAGGCTGGAGCGCCGATCTCTTGCGCTTGTGCGGTTGTGCCGAATGTCTCGTTGCCGGTCGCGTCATGTCGCGTGGGCGCTGTCGTGGCCCTCGTTTGCTGCTCCCCGGCAGGCATGGCCATGCGGGGGGCGGTGCGCCCCGCGGCGGGGCCTCTTGCTGCGCCGTGGGGCGCCCGGGCTGGAAGCTCCGTGCGCCTGACGTGGACATGTCGGCCCTCGGGGCAACCTTGGAGCCCGGGACTCAGGAGTCGCCCCACGTGTGACGCCGCCGCGACGCCGGACACGCCTGGAAGCCGCGATCGATCGCCGCCTCCCAGCCTTGGCGGGCAGGGGTGGGCCGCACGTGCCAGTCTCGGAAAGTCGCTGGGCGGAAAACGCGGATCGCCGCGCGCCCCCGCCCACGCGCCGTGATACTCGCGGGGCTGCGGTGCGGGCGGTGCGGCACAACCCTTCACCGTCGTATCCGAGCGTCCCGCCCCCATGCGCCAACCCCCAATCGCCGCCGGCCCGCGCTGTGTCGCCTCCGCCCGCCGATCGTGCGCGGGTGCCTCGCTGGCCCTCGCCGGGGTTTTCCGGGCTTCGCGGCGGACGTTCCACTCGCTCCCCCTCGCTGGCGCCAACGGCCAGTACGCCGCGCCCGCGGCCCTGTCCCGCCCGGCCTGCGCTCGCCGATGCGCCGCTTTGCGTCATTTGCTTGGCCACCCCTCGCCGGGCCGCCGGTCATGTCGTCGGATCACCTGTGGTCTCAACGCTGACCCGCAGCCGCTTGTGTGCCCTGCGCAGAATGATACCAAGAGACACCGTTGCTCCATCCCTACTGGGCAATAGACCACAGGGCGGGATTTAGAAACTTTTCTCCCCGCGGGGATCGCCGCGAGATGGCGGCGCCCGCGGTGGCGGGCGCCCCGCGCCCGCCGGCGGCGGATGAGTCCCGCGACGCGCGCTGGCACAGCCTGGGCCTCCTGGATGACCACATCAAGTCGCTCAAGCGGCAGATCGAGGTGCTGGCGTCGGAGCTGCGGGCGGCGGTGGCGGAGAGGGACGCCCTGCTGAGCGAGCTGGGCGTCCTGCAGTGGCCAGGGCTGGAGCGCGACGCGCGCTTCCTGCTCAGGCTGCCGGGATCCGGGCGCAAGGGCGGCGGGCCGGATTGGCGATTCGAGTCCAAGGCGGGGAATTCCGATGTCGGGCATGGGAGCCATGGGAAGGGGGAGGGAGAGTCATCCGAGGGGGCACCGAAGCAGGGGCAGCACAAGCGGGGGCAGTCATGGGCAGGGTGGGAAAATAAAGCGGGCGCCAGGGGGGCGGGCGGGAAGAAGCTGGGCAGGAGCAGGATCAGGTCGATGGACTCCGGCTTGGGGATGGAGTCCCTGCCTTTCGGGGGGGACTTGCCGACGCCTCGCGGACCGGCGCCGGACCAGTGCAAGCTGCCCGCCACGCCCGAGGAGGCTCCGGAGGAAGAGATGGAGGAGGCGCCCGAAGCGGCTGGGGAGGGTGCCTGCGACTATGGCGACGAGGAGACCACAAAATCGAGTGGCACGGTGCTGTCGCCGATCGTGGAGAACGATATCGAGGCGGTGAGCGAAGACGTCGAGGAGGTCAGAGACGTGGAAATGATGTCCAGCGACCTGCCGGACAGCCCCGTTTCTCTGACCGACTCGGAGCCCAGCGTGGGCACTGACGAGGACATGGGAGTCCCCTCCGATGAGGGCTCAGAGACGCGGGAGGGGGAGCATGGCGAGGAGCAGGGGACCCCTGCTGGGGAGGGGGGCGTTGTTTGGCTGTCGAATGGTGCATTCCACCGGAACGTCACGGACTCGCCCACGCCATCATCAGAGTCCGAGTCTGCACCGGAGGCCACTGTCAGCGCCCACCACCCCCAGGTCCGGATGCGCACCACGCATGTGGCATTAGTGGAGAGGGCCAACCGCGCTGCACGCTTGTCGAAGGAGCTGTTCCAGGCCAAGTTTGCGCTGCACGATAGCCAGTCGCAGCTGCAGTTTTTAACCGAGAAGATGATGATGTACAAGAACACGTTCCAGGACCAAGTGAGGCGCCATGAGGAGGAGACGTGCAAGCTGAGGTCCATGCTGAACGAGGCGACAACCTCAAAGTTCATCATGTTCTGCAAGCTGTCCGAGTGCCAGGAGAAGGTGCAGCAGCTGGAGGAACACCTGGTGCTGTCACGAGCCATGGGCACGAGGGCAGGTCTAGGTGCCATCGACGAAAACGTGGACCAGAATGGCAGGGAGGTGCTTGCAAGGCTTCCCGAGAAGGAGCAGGAGAAGGTGGATACCTCGCCTCGCTGGGTCCGAGGGTCCAGCATGTCAACTATTGAATGCGGCGCTTGCAAGGTTGAACAGGTGAGCTGTCAGCTTGGGAGTGTGTTAGCCTTTGTCATGCTGGAAGATTGTGTTTGCCGGAGTGTTGCAGAGTACCGCCTGTGCTTGTGAAAGGCTATGAAAGACATAATTGTTCACCTCAACCAGAATCTTAGTCCTGTTCCCCTTGCTCAGTGTCCTGATAGAAATTGTGGGCAGAAGCAGCAGGCCCAGCTCTTGAATCGAAACAGAGGCGCTGGTTGTCTTCATTTTGTACCGATCAGCTGTGCGACTCTGGGACCGGTTCAATTGCACCATTCAGATGTCTTTGTGCTGCAGAAAGCCCAGCTAGTGACGAGGAAGGGAATGGCAGTGTGGAAAATTTGCTAGGGCGTCCATGGCCGCGACTCAGGCTATGCATTTTTCTTGCGTTGTGATTCGCACACCATTCCTTGCTGCAGTGCCAGACTGTACTGTGAGCTGACAGGAGCTATCCTTGATATTGTGCAGAGTGCTGTTGGGAGTGGCCTGCAACAGCGATTGACAGAGACGATGCGGCGGCTGCTTGAGGCTGAGAACCGCGGCGACCTATTGCAGCAGCGCTTGAAGGAAATGGAGACGCAGCTGAAGAGGAAGGGCAGTGAGGACAGCAGGTCCGTACAGTCCACAGACCGCTCGTCGGGGTCTGTGACTTCCAAGCGAAGCAACCAGAGCCACACCTGGAGTGAGCTGAAGCAGGTGAGTTGGGCTAACTGGTCTTGTGAAACAATAACAGCTGTTCTGATTTGCTGTGGTTTACTGTTGCCTTCATGGAAAGAGCAAGTCACTGGTGGAAGTTTGGCAGTCAAATTGTTGAACATCTTGTTGGCAGCCATAGCTCAGCGATGCACATGCTTGTGGATCAGTTGTCCACAGCATTCCTTCGAGTTGTTTCTGGTTCTGCCACAGACCATTGCCTGCAGGCTGTCGTGGGGAGCAGAGAAAGGAAGCACGCTGCACCAGCGAAACTAACCTGAAACCTGTGCTGACAGACGCGCCTGGAGCTCAAACGCACGAAGATTCAGCTTCACAAGTGTGAAGGCGAACTGAGCGCTTCCAACAAGATCCGTTATCAGCAAGAGGCGGCAATCGCAAAGCTGAAAATGGAGCTGAAGGAAGTGAAGAGGAGGAAACCCCCGTCATGGCGATGAGCCCACCACATACGGTGTGGCACTCGCCAGAGGCACGGCACAGCAGAGTGCTAGCAGCATTTTATTAAAGCGATCGTGGCGGACGTCGCCCATTGCATAGTGGCAGAGCAGATCGAAGTTTATCTGCCATGTCAACTTGGGGTATGCGACTTGTTGGCTGCACATAAACGAACGGGGTATTTATGGCTATAAACGACTGTCGTTCACGCCGAGCTCAGCAGGTCGCAGCCATGTATTTGTTGCCCGGCCCACATCTACTCACCGAACTTGTCACGAAACTGCACCCGCGTGACGTTGTTTTTAACGCCACAGGTGTTTTTGACGACGTAGGTATTTGTGCAGATTCTGCAGATATGTAGGAAGTGGTGCCCCACTTGAACGTTCTCGAGCGGGGCCCCAGGCGGGCGCAGGGCGCCCTGCTAGCCCAGTTGTATGAACGCAGGGCATGCCCTTGATTTGTAACAATTGTTTGACGATTGACACTGCCCCTCTCGCGATGCTGAGACTTGCGTCATCGGTGTGCAAGTGAGCGCATAGCGCATGGCGGAGGCAAGCAGGTCGCAATGCAAACCGTGCTTATGCGGCAGTCCCCAAATCGTGCCTTCACGAGCAGCTGTGGACACTGGCGAGGGATGCTTCTTGGCCTTCATCACGACGACCTGTGCCTCAACCTCGCAAGGCCTGGTGGTCAGAGGTTCAAGGATATGCGTTTCTGAGATTCGGCAATTAACAATATTCTGTTAGGGCAGACGTGGGTGTGCTCTGGCGGTGCACCAGGCATTCTGCAGAGCAGCAGCAACAGAATCCGTGTAGGGGAACTAGCCACCTTGACAGTTTGTTGCCCGTCGGCCACAGACTGCGTTGAGCGTGGGCCAAGGGTTCAGCGCACTCTGGGCACACCCTCAGAAGGCCAAAACATGGAGGGGTAGCCTTGGCGGAGATTTTAAGGTCGTCGGGCAAATTACCTGAATGAGCGGGGCCCCACCACAGCAACCTACTTCTGCTCCAATCCGCCCTCCCAATTAATTGAATTGACATTCTGGTTAATTGAAATACGAATTGCTGGATGTTAGTGCTTCGCTTCAGGTCGCGAAGAGCATGGCAAATTGCTACGGCAGTCATGGGCATTGTTTTCGAAGGATGCTTATGAGCACCACACGTGGAGTGTTTGATTATCTTTCACAATATGCTAGTCGGGGTGGACGAGGATTCTATCGAGCATACTTCTATTTCTGCCCATCGGGTCTCCTTCACCCCACCCCCACCCCCACCCCCACCCCCATCCCCACCCCCACCCCCACCCACCCCCACATCCACCCCCATATATAAACAATACATTAAATTCACAGTGTACTTGGAGGCCATCACCTCACTCGTACAAGACCCGATGGTGACTCACTCTAAAACATGTCCTTCGCTTCGCATGGTACTTATGCCACACTGACGGTGACCCAACCCTGAGTCAGCCCCCGTCTTCTCGTATTCAACACCCTCTCCAATCCACAGCTAACCGAGACTCACTCCATTAGAATGGGCCGGTCGGGTGCGAAACAAGATAAGAGCGGTCCAGCAAAATTGCTGCCTAAGCAGGCGTCCCACTTGCCACCAAACTTCCTGCCAAACCCAAGGGCCAGCTTGCCTGGTCCCCTTGCCTACGACTAAGCTACAAGGATCCACTGAATTGCCCTTGGGAGCCGGCGGTCAGAACAGATCCCAGGTATAGGGTTGACAGAATCCGGATTAACATGGCCCTGAGCGGCCCACAAAGAGCGGCCCCTGCCCATGGCGGCTAGCCGCGCCCACCCAAGGTCGCCCTTGGCAGAAACTCAATAAAACGATAGTTAATTGTATTGACAAATTGAAGACAACCTAATCTTTGGCAAAAGACAAACAACCGCGATCTTGTGAACACATGCGGCGAACGTCTGCTGGGAGTCTACAAACACTACTTGCACTTTGAGGTTTGCACACAAGATGGCAAGACTGCGGCAATGGCAGGATGTCGGCGACCTGGAAATCAACACGAAACGGCGCCACACACCGTTGAGCATCCGCTCACATATCAAACACTGTTGAATGAGCTTCAGCAATTCGCCGGTTGAAAGAGAATTTCCTTCAGGTTGCTTGAAAAGCGTGGACCAGCCAAATTGACATGGACTGCAAGGGTGGGTGATGGAGCGTGCCAGCGTGTTTTGGAATCCATGTGCACTGCACGCAACCATAGGAGAGTTCGACCCTTCAGGCGGCAAAACAGACCGAGCACTTCTCCTTCAGCGGCGGCAGGATGGCGTCCAGGCGAGCCAGCTCCCCCGCGCCCAGCTCCGGGCCCCTGCACAGCCACGCGTACTCGAATCTGATGCCGGACTTCCACGAGTCCGAGTGGTTGACGACCCTGATGCCCACATCGCTGCACACCGCCTGCAACCGCACCGGCTCCATTGCGAACCAATCACTCTCGCCCACGGCCCAACTCCCCACGACCTCCTCCAGCGCCCTCTCGCAAACCACCTCCGCGTTCACCGCCACCTGCACCTGTATCCCCTCCAGCGGCGCGCCCTCGGTCATTCGCCGCATGCACAGCGCGGGCAGGAAGCACCCCGCTGGCACGCCCTCGAACTCGACCCCCACGTCCAGCCAGCACACCCCCTCGAGCTCCAGCGCGTGCCCCTCCCTCTTGAAGTACTTCTCGTCGTCCACCCAGGCGCCCGTGAACCGCCTGCCGGTCCTCAGCCCCCCCCCGCCGCCAAAGTGCGTCAGCACGCCGTCCCCCAGGTCCCTCACGCACCGCGCCACGGCCTCGCGCTTCCTGGCGGCGCCGAGCATCCGGCTCACCATTCCGGGCCCCGCGTCATCAAGGGCGGACTCCACCGCGGGCAGCGCGTGCAGTCTGCGCAGGTGGTGACCCACGTACCGGGCGCAAAGAGGGGGATCCCTGGACAGGGTGGGGTCCGCCACGCAGCATGTGATCGCCACCTTGGTCGCCAGGACCTGGTCGTCGAAGTCGGCCGCCACGCCGAAGGCCTCCTCGGCCGCGTCGCGCCCCGCCCGGCACTCCAGCCCGATCCGATCGGCGTCCACGGTGCCAAAGGACAGCAGGTCGACCGCCAGGCGCGCCTTGGAGACGGCCAGCTCCAGCTTGGACTTGCGCAGCGCCTTGAGGTGGCCCTCCACGACGTCGAATTCCGAGAGCAGCAGACCACGGAGGTCGTCGCACTCCTCCAGCCTGGAGACCGCGGCCTTGCGGAACAGGTTCCAGGCGAATGAGACCACCTGGGTGGCGGCGCCGTCCATTCCGGTTTGGGGGCCGTGCAGTGGTGGCCTTCCTGTTGGTAGCGGCGTGGGCCCTTGTGCCCCCGCCGCCTGCGTGGACAGGGGGCCCAAAGCCGGAGGCAGCTGCGCGGTATGTGCGGTGAGTGAAGCCCGCTGCGGTCGAACGCGGACCGCCCTAGTTGCCCTCTTCCTTGGGAAACGTGCCGGTGCAGATGGGAACACGTCACCGACGACACAGAGCCCGGGGCCCGACTTTCGTGTTTCTGCGGGCATGATTACGCACTGCCTCCTTTCTTTGTGTCCTCAGGAGTTCACAGCCAAGGGAAAATGTGGCCTGAAATGCTGGAGGACGATGATGGAGCCCTTGGCGTTGTTCACTCTCAATTGAGGAATCAAGGACTCGTTAGCGGAACAGCGTTGTGGCATTATCATGGCGCGTGGACTGAGTGGATGGCCTGGTAGCAGCTTTGCTGCTCTTCAAAGGGACATTGCTGATTGGAATCTGTCTGGTATTCCGTAGCCTCCAGCTCTTTCTGATGTGGTGGCGCCCGATGGCTCCTCCAAGTGGCGAGCCAGTCAGCAAACTAACAACGCTTTGCGGCAATTACCCTCCCCTCTTCTCCTTCTCTTTGCGTTAAGACGACATTGAGCCTGGCAAGATCGACAATGTGACCTTTTGGGCTTGAGCATAATTTGAACGAAACAATGCGCTCGATTTCACCCACATTGATTGTACACGGCATTCCACAATCCGATTGGCATATTGCGGCCTTGCACAATTCTTGTCCTGGCCAGAATCAGCTTATTACCCAATCTATATCTGAGGACAGTAGGGGCAAGCCATCAGCACCCCGAATCTTCCCCGCATTTCTGCGATCTGGCATCCTACAAAGACGAATCACATCATCATCATCATCCTTGGATGATCATGATCGGTGCATGCCTACTGTTCTGATCCCCGCATTTCTCTTAGCTATTTCCAGTAATCAGCTCCTAAACATCCCCTTTTCTTTTCTCTTTGTCCTGCAACATTTGACCAAATCAACCTATAATATGCCCTGTGAGGCTCAACGAAAAGGCAAAAAGAAGAAAACAAACTGGTCCGAAGTTCGTCTTTCCACAATGTCACAGCAACATATCGCCACTGTCTAGTTTACTGCAGCAGGCAATGCTCGAGTGCGGTTTTGTTCTCCCTGGCCCAAACGTACATACTCGAAGCTGATTCCCGTCTTCCTCCCCCACTTTGAGTGATTGACGATCCCAATTTCCACACAGCTGCATTTGCTGGCAGCCTTGAGGGACACCAACCCAAGGCCGAACCAGGCACTGTTCACAGGGCAATGCTTCCCGACAACCACTTGGAGCGCCCGCGTGCCGTACACCTTGCCATTCACCTTGATCACCACCTTGGTGCTGTTGAGGCCCACCACGGGCTGAAACGTGCTCAGACGCAGAGCCGGAAGGCAGAAGTCACCGGAAACGTCCTCGAACCTGACCCAAATGTCAAGACGCCGTGCCCCACACAACACCAGGGCGTCCCCGTCCGTGCGGAAACACCTCGCGTCGTCCACCCAGGCGCCCTTGAAGCTGCTCCCCGTCTTGAGCTCGCCCCAGGCAGGGAAATATGTCAGCACCCAGTTGTTGACCTCGTCGATGCCCTTCACGATGGCCTCACGTTTCTTCGCGCCGCCAAACAACCTCCCCACGAACCCCCCGTTGGTCCCGCTCCAGCATGCCACCGCAACCGGCAGAGCGTACAGCTTGCGCAGGTGGTGGCTCACGTAGTGCAAGCACGCAGCGGGATTGGCGGACAGCTTGGGGTCGGACACGCAGCACATGATTGCCACCTTGGTCGCCAGCAGCTTGTGCTGGCACTGCCCCACCACCCCGAAAGCCTCCTCCGCGGCGTCGCGCCCGGCCTTGCACTCGGAGCTGATCATGTCGTCTTCCGCGTTGCCGGAAGACAGCAGTTCGATCGCGAGCTTCGTCTTGGAGACGGCGAGTTCCAACTTAGATTTCCGCAGCGCCTTCACGTCCTTCATAATTGTCGCGAACTCCGACAGCAGCATGGCTCGGATGTCTTCGTGCTCAGGGTTGTCCCCGCATAGTCTTGAAGCCGCACCTCTGCGGCAGAGATGCAAGACAAATGACATCGCCTGAAAGGCAGCCATGCCTGGGTTCGGGGCCGGCCCCACTTCGTCGCGCACGAGGGCGTTGCTTTTCTTTCACACACGCGCTCCCCCAGGGTGAGAGGCCGAAGCCCGTGGGCGCTTTGGAGTAGCAGCCAGGCGTGAAGGGCAGCAGCCGGTGTGGGTGTTGCGGCGCGGTTCCTCGCTAGCAGCAGGAATTGGCTCTTTTGCAACGGCTGGACGACCAGGAAGGCGGCTCGCTTGTGCTGTCAATTACCAGCCAGGCGTCGGGGACAGCAGCCGGTTTGCGGATTTGTAGAGCGATTGCTCGATGCCGCAAGAAGGTTGTGCAAGAAGGTTGTCCCCCAGGAAGCCGGGCCTCATGCTTCCAACTGCCTGCCATCCTTCGCGGAAAGGGCATCACAACAAGTAGCAAGTAGCTCTCTTCACGAAGCTGGCCCCACAGGCTCACAATGATTCCAATTACGACAAGCTTGTTGGCTAGGTCTGCGTTGGGCCTTGCAATAGCGAGTTGTATTCTGCCTGGCGGGGGTCCTCTTCCTGCCAAGCCGCACTTGCACACTGGCCAAGATAATTGCATTTTTGGCTCCTTGGTGACCTTTAATCACCAAACGTTGAAAATTTAAAGCCGATGGACGTCAATGGACGTCAACCGACTTGCAAGTCGGTTTGCCCTGAACTCCGCGTGACTTGAATGGAAGCACCAAGGCACCTGGCGCCTTGGCGGTATTGGCACCTCGCCTGGTCAAAAATTCGAACCAATGCTCCCATTGACACTCCCATTGGGAGTGATGGGCGAAACAAGTACATGACAACAGTATTGCTCTTCTTGAATAACAATATGGTTGTTGATCTTGTGACAATCGAGCTATTAATCGTTACCCTTTGCGTTACTAGATGAAGGGACAAAGGCAGGTTTGGGAAATTCCAACAAATGAAATTGTCTGTTGTCATTATGAGTGAGAGGTGAGCATATGTAAGAAAGATATAATAAATGAGAGCAAGCTTTGTGTATATCAAGAAAGTAGTAATGCCCAAATGGTGAATTGTATAGGACTTGATATAGCAATCGTCGCAATTTAGAATTCTCAATGGATTCGAAAAGCCCCTAAAATTCACATGTTATACCGCCTATTGTCAGGCTTCCCTAGATGGCTATGGGAAAAAGAAAGCCGGAGAGTTCAATAGTGTTGGACCACATTTTGCAAACCACTGATGCTAACATAGAACCATATTTAAACATGATATATACATGAACTAAATTAAATTGAATGTTATAAAACCCAATGAGCCATCATTGAAGAATCCTGGCCATGTTGTGGGCACTTCTTTAAAGGTGGTGTGGGGATGGGATGGGATGTGAAAACTATGTGTTTCTAGACTTTGGGAAGTGTGTAACCTTGCATGCACTACTAAATGGGTACTTTAATGAGAGCCCTTCTGATGTTCTGTGTTTTGCTTAAGCGAATAGGATAGCATCCTCATGTTTCTGGACAACGAACAAGATGTTGTTATGAAATTCAAAGATGTATTTATAAGTTGAGGATTGTGGCGGCAATGAAAGACCATAACATTTATTCTGCAGTAGATGGGGCAGCATGGTGGCGATCGGCCCCAGCTCTGCTGATGATGAATGTTCTGGCCCTGGTTCACTGCCTGTTGGTGTGGCATTAGGCCCAATTCATTGTCGGATCACTGCCGGTCAGCTGTGTACTGGGACCCAATATGTCACTGGATAAAAGCCTCCCCTTCTCCCCACATGTCCCATAGTGGCACACTGTGGTGATGCGGGGGAGGTGGCCGGGACGGTGGTAGCAGTTCGCGGTGGTTAAGGCAGTTCGCAATAGTGGAGGCAGTGCTGGTGGCAGTTGTTGTGGAGCTACTTGGGGGCAGGCAGTAAATGATATTTTCTGCAGCTGTATTATATAATCTCGCTGAGTCATCCTATTCTACGGTTTACTTATGACTTCCTGGTTCCAACGCTTCGTTCAGCACTCAGTTCTGAGGAGTATGGAGGAAGATACGGCCTCGTGAAAACGTAGTACTGAGAGGCCGGGTGTTGGGTGGGAATTGTTGGAATTAGAGCTAGATTAGGTTGATTATAGGTGACGGAGGGGCGTTGGTACACGGTCCGTACATTACACTGAGCTGTCCTGTCTGATGTGACGCGATGGACCCGCGACCGGGCATCGCGCAGGTACATTGGATGCGCGCCGCGTGCGTTAGACTGTAATCGCAAATCCGGGCCCCTCTCTGCCCCGCCGCGAGGCAGCGGAACCGCCGTCCGCCGCCGCGACTCCACCGCCTGCGTATGGCAGGCTTCGGGGAAGGTCCCCAAGCGTCCCAAGGGCCCACCGCGCTACCGAAGAAACGAGCACCCCGCCAACGCCCGCCGCAATCCGGCGGAGAGGCGCGGCATCGAGGCCGCGCCATCGGGTGCGGCGACCGCCCCCAAACTCCGGAAACCAGCGGCCGCCTGCGGGCCGCAACAGCAGTGGCGGCAGTAGAGGTGGCCACCCGGATCCGTTAATAACGGACGAGGGTGCCGTCCGTTAAATATCCGTTAATTTAGCGGACCCCGCTCTCTCTCTTGCTGACGTGGCACGGATGGCAGCGGACGGCTGGCGCCAGTCAGCGGACTCTGCGGATTCCGCTTGGGCGTTAACGGATATTTTCCAACGGACCGGAAGCCGCGCACCCCATCCGCTAATTTAGTGGATGGCAGCGGACGTGTGTGCCGAATCAGCGGATGACAGGCAGTAAGTACTGATTTCCGAATCTGCGGATCGGGTTGATTGCCAGCGTGGCTCAGCCAGCGTCCACATACCGCGGACCTTATTTGGTCGCTCTTCTGGTGCTGCCGCAGTCTCCAACCCTTGCCGCCCCACCAGCCACACCATGGACCCAGCACCTGCCGGGCCAAGAGGTAAGGCATACCGCGCGGCGCGCGCATGGGCGGCACAACCAGAAGCCAGGGCAACGCCCTCAGTACTGCCGACCTGGCGGGAAATTCCGGGCCGCGCGGGGTGTTGGGGAGCTCGGATGTTACGTTAGTATGCGTGGCGGATGCAATCCGCTGTGTCTGAGCATACCAGCGCTATCTGCTTTGGCGACGCGCCCTCGATTACCGCCGACACTGGCGGGAAAAATCGAGCAGCGGGGTGTTGGGGGGCTCGGATGATGATACATTGGCAGCATGCGGCGGATGCAATCCGCGGTGATGCTTTCGAGCATAGCTACGGCAGAGGCAACGCCCTCCGGCGGTTACCGACACGGTGAGAGGAAAGAAATGCGAGCCTTGAGGTGTTGGGGGGCCGCCGGATGATCTGATGGCCGAAACACATGCGGCGGATACAATCCGCCGGTGATCTCGAGCGCCAGCCAGCGCTATCACGCGCTACGGCGAGCAACGCCACCCGGAGAATTACCCGCCGACTGGCGAGGAAATGCGGGCAGCGGGGGTGTTTGAAGTAGGGGCACCGGATGATCTGACCAGCCGAAACCTGCGGCGGATAATCCGCCGGTGATGCTCAAGCATAGCGCGCGCTATCCTGCTTCCTGGCCAGGGCAACGCCCTCAGTACCGCCGACCTGGCAGGAAAATCCGGGTCGTGGGGGGTCTCGGATTATGTGTGGACTTTGGAAGCCTGGTGGCACATGGCCGGGTGGGAAGATCATGGTCGGGGTTTGACTTCATTCCAGGATTTTACCTGCGACCCTCACCAACTGTGTTGCATTGTAGGTGCGACCAGTGCTGAAACGGAAAGCAGGCAGGGACGCCTTCGACATGAGGGACGTGTAGGTGCGGTGGACGTGTACCTCTGTGCAGCAAGCCTGAGTGTCACCTATTGTGGCTGGGTGCTATAGGGAACATCGCGGGAAGTCGGGTACAATCGCAATGTTGATTCTAAGGCTGGTAATCCAAGGCTTGTATACCTCTGGCTGGAAACCATGCATCCATTCGGGCACCTACTGTCCTGCGTATATGTTGGAAATGTACTTAACATTGTGTGTGGTGCTGCAGCCTCACCAAGCTGCGTCAATGCAGATCCACAAACCATCGGGAGGGGAATGGCGAGCGCAGAGGAGCAGCAAGACGAACCCTCACTTGGTGAGTGGATTACCACTACACTTGCTGAACTGTATTTTGCTGTCGTCTTTGGCGGCTGTGGCTGTGTGTGTTTGTGGGTGGGTAGGGTGCTGCACCATTCTGGCATAGCCACCTCGTTGGTGGCAGTACCCGCCGTCACCTGGCTGGGGAAACCTTGGCAGTTGGTTCCTTCCATGTGGCCATGCACTGCACAGGGTGCACCACTTGTCGCTGCAATACCCATCGTCTTTGCTTACATGCCACCAACATTATCTGGCACTACCCGCCGTCACCTGGCTGGGGAAGTCTTACCACTTTGTTGCTTTTATTTGGCTGCACACTGTACAGGGTATGCTGTATGTCCCTGCAGAACCCATCGCCTGTTTTTCCTTATGTGGCATCACCATTTTGTGGCAGTACCCACCGTCACCTGGCTGGGGAAACCTTGGCAGTTGGTTCCTTCCATGTGGCCATGCACTGCACAGGGTGCACCACTTGTCGCTGCAATACCCATCGTCTTTGCTTACATGCCACCAACGTTATCTGGCAGTACCCGCCGTCACCTGGCTGGGGAAGTCTTACCACTTTGTTACTTTTATTTGGCTGCACACTGTACAGGGTATGCTGTATGTCCCTGCAGAACCCATCGCCTGTTTTTCCTTATGTGGCATCACCATTTTGTGGCAGTACCCGCCGTCACCTGGCTGGGGAAACCTTGGCAGTTGGATCCTTCCATGTGGCCATGACACCCTGGCAAAGTTCCAAGCGATGTTGAAGAAAGAGATGACGGCATTGGTGAGTTGAGGTCTGATTTGTGGCCTTTGCCTTTG